AAAATGGTGACATTGTAGGTGTTGAAGTCACATGTTACTCGCTAATTATTACGAAAAGAAGAAGAATGGTCATTCAACAGTAATCCTAATTGTTATAATTATTATTGTAATTAATAATAATAATTATTATTATTCATTATTGAATTAATTTACCGATTAAACTGTAGTTGAATCACTTAATATTTCTATCAACTGAATAATAAAACATTCAAGTCGAAAAAAACCGAGATGGAATTAATATGGAAGATTTGAAGTAGAGGTTTTACGAATTGCGCGGTAGACTAGTGGTTAGGGCGTCGGATTAGTAGTCGTGAGGTCGTGGGTTCGAGCCCACGTTAGGGGGTAATATTTTAAGTTAACAAAATCGGTTTTTCAGCGATGATTGCGTTAGGGTTTGGTAGGTAGGGCACAATCAATACTAAAAATCATCCTAAAAAATGTTAATTATTTTGTTTTTGTTATTATTGATAATTGCCATGAACAGTTTGGCAGCCAGTGCGGCACCAGTCGCATGCCGGTATTGATTTTTTTTCCTCGTTGAACCTATTACGAATGCTGAGGAGTAATATTAAATTACTTGTATTTCAATCACCCATATTATCATATTCATGTAATTAAGTAATGTTTAATTGAGCCTGGCCAACGACTGGCAATCAACGCTGGGCCGAGATGGGCGCCCAGACCTGGCCCGATGTTATCATTCCAGGTTTCAACCAAGTCCGGCGCGGTCCCGGTTGAGGAACGGGTCCCGAAGTTCGGCAGGCCGGCCACCGGGCTTGGGCCAAGCTCGGCCCATTCGTTTTTTCGTACGTGGGATATCGAAGGAGCAGTACCGGATTGTATACTTTACAGTAATGTAGAAGTGATACTGAAATCATTTCGCCATGGCAATGTTAAATAATATTATCCTGAACAATGTAAAATTCACGTTTTAATAATGTTACTCACCGACGTCGGTGGCCGAAGCGGCTAGGTGCGAGCCTAGTGTGCGAAAGGTTGTGAGTTCGATTCCCCGTGGAACCGAGTTTTTCAACCGGAGGCTCCGGCGAGCGGAAGGTCGCTAATATAGTGACCGCCTGTACCGGCATGGGTTTTCTGTGGTTTCCCATGCTACTCCTATGTTCTATAGGAGTGCGAATGCGGTGCAGTGTAGAATCCACAGCCGCATGCATAGGGTTGGATAGGGCCGATTAGCCAATCAGAGGGCAGAAAGAGCCGGAATATAAAAAAAAAAAAATGTTACTCACTGAATACGTAATTTATTGCATGGATAAAGCATCAAAACGATACAAAAATGATGGATTTTTGAGGGGGGATCGAGTAAAACATGTGTTGAGAAATAATAATTACATTTAGAATAACAAAATCATGAGACCTCGATGCCAGTAAAGCAGAAAATTCTATTTTGTATCCTCTTCCCGTACTTCCATCATAGATTTCTTCACCTCTGTTAAAGTAACTTTTGTTTGAGGAAAATACGCAAAAATCCAAATGGAGGTCTACTTTGTCTTATCTGAAGATAATTTCTGTTCAATAAACGAAAGAAAAATTCACGAAAAACAATTTTTGGAGCAAACGGAGCGCCCACTTTATTTTTTAAATATTTTTAGTAAAACGAATCATTTTGACGACGGAAAAAGAATATCGCCGATAATCATGAGTGGGGTACCACACCGATTTTTCAACTGTATTAGCCATTCTAGGGCATTTTCCATTGCGTGAATCCATTAGAACCATGCGCAATCATAACAGTGGGGGGGAGACACTCAATATCAATTTCAATTCGGGGGAGCTTACTATATTCATCATAATACGAGGGAGCGCATTCTATTAATTATGATACGAAGGGGTGAGTGATTGATTACAACTTCGATATGCGCCTTCACATTTTCTTGCGCTTTGAGTCGAAATTACGTCATCAAGTATTTGAACTCGGAAAGAATTCGCGAGATACTATTCTATTGAGTATGCAACCCAAGAAAATCGACGTGAAATCTAATTTCAGATATTGAAAATAATAAGCACTTATTGCTCTATAACAATTCCTCCCCCCAACTGTTTTATTGAGACGAAAATAAAACACGATCTCAGACAAGTTTTATTTAGGCCAACAAAACTGCTAGTTGAAAATTGCCAGAATAGAAATTTTGTATTTTATTTAAGCACAAACCTATCGGTTATATAGCTATTCATATATACAGTAAATATAACTGAGGATAGAATTAGTTGAATTAGGCTTAAATCTGAGGTTTTTATACATCTATTTTACAATCGCTGAGAAAACAGTCGATAATCTCGATACATTTCATGTTTAGTTCCTTCAGTCTGGTCAGGCTGGAGCTGTGTTGCCAAATATTTTGGCGACCAGTCGCCGCATCTGGCAACTATGGGCTGGATTATGGAGGATGGAATTGGTTAGCTACAAGTATCTGAAACGTAGATTGTCTGCGTTGGTCATATCGGGGACAATCCCCAGAAAAGAAAGGGTGTGATTCAAATTTTAAAATCTCAGACATGAATAATTGCTCTGCTTTTGACAACAACGAAATATTCTGCTCAAAAGGCCAATAGTTCACATGAGACAGTTCCTTTTGGAGATGAAAATATCTCATACAGAGGAAAATTTATCAAGAAATATTTTGTCCCCAACTTAGAAGATTGCCATCATATTTTTATTATTATTGCATTTAAAGATTTATTTCTTGTCTGTGACTAATGAATAGCCGAAATGAAAAACTCCTATCCCTTGTTTCCCATAAGACGAACATTTTTCGGGAGCAAAATACGTATTCGAAGCATCGAATAACGAAGAAGTAGTGCTAAAAATGACATTTCTTCCTTTTTCGGAGAATACAATTTTTTGGAGCTATAAAATCTATTTTTACAACAAAAGGTTTTCATCTCGGCGCACTCCTTGCATGTTTGGCATAAAAAATACTTTTTTAATCATTTTTGAAAAAACCTTCATTTGGCACAAGTAAGATTTGTTTGAGAACCCTCTCGTTTTTTTGTCAGTCTAGCGCAGTACGAAATTACTTAGTGTGTGGACTCCCAATAATTGTGTGATGAGCGCACAATTTTGAAATACAATTTCGATTGAAAATTGCCTAAATCTTTCGAGATTTTTCAAATTCGGGGAAAAAATGAGAGCAGGCTGATAAAGCAACGTTTGAAGTTCTATTTTCACCATGAAGCAGGAACTGAGAACGAAAGTAAAGAACGAACCGAAAGTGCCGTTTTTGCGTTGTCGTTTCGAACTGAGAGCGAAATGTTGATAACGTTCTTGCGAAAAACGAAAGTGAGAACGGGAGCGTTCTTCAGAGAACAAACATCAACGAATAATCGGAAAAGCGTTTTTCTGCGAAAAACGAAAGTCGTGAACGATCTACAACGGGCGAAAGTGGGAACGAAATTAACCGAATCCGCACGGAGAGAAATATTCAATAAAAATTGCGTATCTTTTCCGTAATTTCGGAGCGAAATGTGGTTGTAGGAAATTTTCCGGAACTGTCACGGAATTTTTCCAGAGCGTTTGGTAGTTTTTATCTGAATCTCCTGTGAAAAATTACCATACCGTCGCTTAAATTTTTTGAGTCGATTCCGTAATCGGTGAGCGAGTTCCGAGTTCCATAATTTTTACTGAATATTTCTCTCCGTGCGCGGGTTTTCAACCACTACTGGATTCATTCCGTATATGAAAAAATCAAGAAATAGCCTTCTCGGACAATTGCCCCAAATCTGAAATGAAATATTCAAATCAGAAAGATACCTCTAATAAAACTTCAAATTAAAAAATTGTCAATTATCAAATTTGAACAGTAACGACTATCAGCTATCACTAACTATCAGTATCTTCGAAGATTATATTGGAAAATGCGGCATTTTCAAACTTTTTCGGTAACAACTGAGTTCAATTTAGCATCTTCCACATGGATTATACTGTTATATTTCGCAATGAAACTCTGAATAAGTGCTCAGAAAATGATAACATTTTCCTAATTTTTTTTTTAACGTTATTTTACATCGCTTCGACCCGGTTAGGGTATACTGCGATGTTGATCAAGACTTTAAATGGTTAGATCGCACCATTCTATGCGGTCGGGATTTGAAACTCGGAACCTTTCCCATGTGAGGCAATGAACTTACCCACTGCGCCAAGCCACCGGGTTCCTAATTTTTTACCGAATCTTTTTGGAAAGCCTTGGTGATCGGTCATTTTTACGATCTTCTAATTTTGTTTGGAAATGATGTAGAATGTCATGAAACGTGAAGATATTTTTAGAAAATGTGTGTATGTATGCCCGTATGTGTATGCAGATTTTTCAGAAATTTTTTAAAAATCTCAACAAAAGAATAAGTAAAGTTGCAGCTATAAATCTGGGATAAATTGGGAGCAGCTCTGGGCGCAGTGTCAGCCCAATCGGTCAAGTAGTTTTTGAGATACAGCAATTTCTCAAAAATCGTTTTTCCTCAATATCTCAAAAACTACGTGACCTAATTGAAATCGTTTGACATCAAAGTCTTCCTTATGATAATATCTATCCAATCAAGTCATAATATCCCTACGAAACTAAGGACAATTCAATGATAATTGGCATTTTTCATTTTTATGATACAATTGATGTATACACGATAACTTCCGAAAAAATTGAAATAGGATATTGAAATTTGGTGAGATTGTAGCTCTTATGATATTACAGTGTGACGTTCGGGGAAAAATTTAGGATAAAGAATAGAGTTATTTTTAATTGAAATTTTAGTGTGTTGGACGCCAGTCGATGGATTATTTTTCGAGAGTGCATCGACTCCTCTCGATTTAGAATTTTCAACAATTTTAACAGAATTACAATGACTGGCAGCTCAGGTATCAGAGTAGACTGTAGAGTATCTTTAGAGTATCTTTAGCGAATGTGTAACAAGTAGTTGTTACAAGGGAGAGGGAGGACGATACTCCCAGCCTGCAATTTTACCTTCCACACTCACACAATGAGAACACACAATTTAACAAGAATAATCAAATATAATTTCACACAAAGAAATATTATGAAATTTACGAGAAAAGTGAATAAGGGTTATAATTTCTCATTATTCTCAAAATTATGATAAAATATCCATAATATGGATCGATATTCAGTTGAGGGTCGATACGTCACCTCGAAATACAATGAATTCAATTTATCACATTTTAATTTCACACCAAAATTAATCAGAACTAATGGACTACATCTTGCGCTGGCTAGGAGACGGCTCTCCTCAAGCTTGGCCCGGTTCAACCGATATGCCTGCTTGATCTTGTTTTGGGGGAGGAACCTCCCCTCAAATTCATAAGACACGGAATTTGATTGGATATCGAAGTTCTAACAGAAGTATTAAACGCTAGAATATTTTACGCAACTAATTTACATGAAAATTATTTCTCAAAAACTGCAAAATGGATATAAATCAATATTTTCGATATTTTAAAATTATTTTAGATTAAATGTCGTAAATTATCCCCAACGTTGGAATATTATTCACATTCGAGTATCCCTCGCTGACTTCCTGTAGGTTTTGCTCATCAGACAAGGGGAAGCTTCCCCCTCTCGTCGTTTCTCGCGTCAGGCTACCCTAGACCATAGTTGTTCGGTGGTTGATGGCAATGGATCCTCAGTTGAAGACATCTGCTCACATTTGAAAAGCACGGGCTTCGTAGAGGGACGCCATCATCCAATCCTCGTTTCCAATAGCCTGAACGGGAAGGTCTGGATGTTGTTTGGTCCCAAGAGATTTTTCTCAGGACCTCCTCTTCTCGACTCAACCTGTTGTCGTGGAGTTATGACCGTCGGAGATGACAAATGGTATTAGAATTGGAAAAGGTTTAAAGTATTTCCTTTCCCGATTCTCATGGACGAGAGAAGTCTCCTAGAGGCTAATTTTTCACAATTTTGCCTTAGAAGGTCTTGATTTTCATTTAAAAATGAAAATAAACAAATTTTACAAATAAAAAATAAATTACGGGTTGACGACCCGTGTCGTCACAACAGAATGAGTTCGTGAGTACGTAAAATCGACCAAGTGGTTTAGAAGATATTCAACTTTTAGTGAAAAACTTTTTTTTTTCACACACCTGCACGGAAAGTTCGTACTTTCCTCCCGCTCATCAAAGAGCAAAATACGAACTTTCCTTTGCAGGCGTGTTAAAAAAACACATGACAAGAAAACAATGACAAGAAAACATGACTTTCCGCCCTTGATGCACAATATACTATAACATATTCAATCTATTGAACACCCAGATGCAAAATATCAAGAACCTCACGTACGCAATAACAATGGAAAAAAATGCTCAAGTTGCTACTTATACAGGTGGTGAATGGAGTATCGATCTAGCATCTTTCCCATGTGATCCCTCGATGGATAACATAGGAAAAACGCCAAAATTATCGATGCCCCATCCAACAGCGCGTATAAGTAGCAACTTTAGAAATTATTCCCAATATTATTGTGTACATGGGATTCTTGAAATTTTGCACACGGTCCTTAAAGAGATTAAATAATATGTTCAAAAATGTTCATTCAATTCTCTGCTTTTTTTAAATTCCCCTTGACCCCGCCACAATACCCTTAATACGGTATTAATCAACAAACTGAAATGAGCCATATAAATCACCCTCGGATTAAATAGAAAAGGGGATATAATGTCTCTATCGGGGAGAAGTTTTTGATTGGCAGTCCCTTTGTAATTGATAAGTCTGTAACAATAGTATCGGAGGTATGAGTTTTAGTAGAGTTGTCGTTTCCGAATGACCTCGAGCTCTCACAGTATATCCCTTCAGTAACAGCACGACGAGGTCCTAACGGCAGTTGAGAACCCTCAAAATTCATTCTTATTTTTGTTTTTCGAAATAACGTTCTCGATCTCACTTTCGCTCTTTGCGAGATAGTTCTCGATATTTCATTCCCGACTTTCGTTCTCTGGAGAACGTTCTCGTAAGAACGTTTTCGTTCTATGTCGTTCTTTCAGTGGAGACTGGGAATGAAAACGGAGATGCGTTCTCAGTCCCTAACATGAAGTGAAGGTGAAACTGAAAAATAAAGATCATTTATGGAAAATTCTGAAAACTTCCGATCAAAAACGATGTTTTTAATTTTTTCTATGCATTTTTGAGCACGTTAAATTAGATCGAAAAATTCCCAGCCAAAATCGCTCGATCACGTGAAGCCCCATCAATTGATCAGCAGAAAAAATTTGTTGAGAATTTTGAGGCCCAATTTACCTACGATTGTTGGTGGAATGTCCCAACACCCGGGGCGGCTATTTCGAGTCGGTAAGTCCCAATACGTATACACGCCCCTTGCGACTCGTGCATTTGGATATGAGTCGTGTGCACGGAGTCGTCTTCCAGTATAAGTTTTTCCTTCGGCGGGTACCCCTTCTCTACGTGATTTCCACTTGTACCCGTGCCTCCCACTCCTGAAAACGAAGAAAAAGATTCGACTGGAAGGCCTACACGCATTGGGAATCACCAACTCGAGACTAGTCTCCCAGGTAGAGAATGTTAGTGCTGGAAAAACGAGCCAAGTGCGGCACAAGCCTTGACTCCAAAGCTTGGTTAGTGGTTCTGCCATTCCTGGCACCAGAGTTTGAACCTGAGAGATGCTCGATAACCAAATTCCAGCCAGTAGTGAGCCGGAGTTTTGGTCGTTGAGCTCTAGACGTTGGTGACATAGTGAGGGTTAAATTGTAAGGATAAAATAATAAGGGTGAACAGTGAGGGTAAGAACACATCACGGTAGAATCTGGAGAGGAAAATTGTCAAGGCTAATCATAATAATGGAACGGTGAGGAAAAAATTGCAAGGGTGAAAACGTGAGGGTCGAATGGTATAGGTGAAATTTCAAGGATAGAATGGTCAAGGTAGAATTCCGCAAGCATAGAAATCACAAACTATTCGGACATTATCATTATTTTTATGATTATTATTATCATTATTCATTATAAAATGAATTTACCAATGAAACTATTGTTGAATCACTCGATGGTGGTACGACTTGAATGATAAAATGTCAAGTTGAAAAAAACTAAGGCAAAATCGATATAAACGATATGAAATATGGACTTGTTATACCCACCGTGGGGGGGGGGGGGTACTTATAATTATAATAGGTTCTAGGCTTAAAGGGATAAATCCCACCAATGGTTTATCGGCATTTAAATGTGAAAATTTATAACTTGATTATAATTACTGTGTCATCTGATTGATTACAAAGAGTTTACGACTTTTGTACGCGTCGGAGTCCAATTCAGTTCTATCTGTGCAGATTTAACCGTCTTTTAAATAATATATTGATTGTTTATCTTTCATAACTTGGTGGACAGTTATGCTGGCAAATGTCACGCTGACAATGCTGTATGTCCACATATTCAACAATAACGCAATTGATCAAATCTGGAGCATAACAGACTTTAACTACGTTGAAAACAACAAGCTGAGTGAAAAATACAGATGACTACAAAATCTCCAGCACGCATCAGACGTTGCACTAAGTGAACATTCGGTTCGCTTCTAGCTGAGCACTCTGCCCATGCTAGTGTATTTTACATACACGGAGAAAAAAATTGAAGAAAAATTACCAAACAAGCCAATTAATCGTGGAGCAACCTCGGTTTCCAATAGGGGCGGGTGGGGTAAAATGGACACTTTAGACTTTTTTAAAATGATTTATAACTCAGAAACAAATTTATCAATTGAGCTCAGTTTAGGCTCATCACAAAGAGAAAGAATTGTTCTTCGTATTGAAAAAAAAAATTAAATTTCATCAACATTTCAATCCGTCATTAATTAAAAAAACATTGTATTAAAAAAAATACAATCATTGTATTTTTTTAAATACATCAATCGTCATTGCATTAAAAAAAAAAGTCATAAGTGTCCATTTTACCCCAATCTCCCCTACTTTTTCACCTTAAATAGGAGAAAAAGTGCGAGATTAATAGTGAATTTTACTCTGTTGACCCGGGAAAATTTACTAAACGTAAGGGTGATTTATACCAAAACTGTAAAATTTACCCTGCTGTACAAAACAAACAATCCCCTGCCGGTGTGGGAAATTTTACTAAACAGAAAAATAATTTTTGCATCTATAGATGTATTAAGCCTGGGAACGATTTGGCAAAAGCATCGCCCATTTATCAGGCCAGTACTGGCATTAATCTCTCAATCAAACACTTTCCAGAAATTGATTTACTATATGACTCTTTTGATTCGATAGCGAACAAAAAATTCCCTCTTATGAAATCTCAGCGTGAGTTTTAATAATTCGTGTTGCTCTAATTATTGCTCTTCTGATTTTCCTTCATCTTAACTATATGTGTATATATTTTTGACCAATTTCCTCAATTTCATTATTAAGCGCTTTTATAGTATCTAAGTTATTTAACTGATTGTTCCAACCGATGTATGTATCTTTTTAAACCAGTTATTGGCTTCGGTTATTGGTTCTTGTACGCAAATAAATAAATAAATTCTCTTACCGAGAAAATCGTAAAATATCCACGAAAAACCACTATTTTTTCATTGAATTACATTTCATTGATTGACATTTATTTAGCTTTAATTCTTTTTAGAGATGATATTACTGATTTTTCAAACACCACAAGAGGTCTTATTTTCCACCTAATTACACTACCATAGCTCAGTACAGTAAGGCAGAATAAACTAGTGAATTCAAAATCTTACTTTGAAACACCAAATAATTTTTTTTTTTATGCTTATTTTATATCGCTTCGAGTCTGATGAGACTATATGGCGATTGATCAAGACTTTAAAAATGGTTAGATCTCACCATTCTACCCGGCCAGGAATCGAACCTGGAACCTATCCGTTGTGAGACAACGGCCTTAACCACTACGCCAGGCCAGCGGCCTAAACACCAAATAATTGAATGGAAAATAAAATTGAATAACTTTCAATACTTCGTTGGTCACGTTGGACTTCCAAATGTCGTTGATCACACTTAATATAGCACTACGCCGCGTGACAATAATCGATATAATGAAAAACTAATGGTCTGGGAAAAATCAAAAAAAAATTAACAGTGATCTAAATCGCATACTTAATGAAGCGCCGTGGGATTTCTCATTCTCAGGGTTGCCCTTAATCACGTATTCAAGCTCAAAGTTGCCTTGTTTTTCGGAAAATTGACCTTATATATACCCAGCACACGGCCCAGAGTTTCAGCATAAAAATTTCAACATCTCACTGCAAATTATATTTTTGGTGGAAACGTTTTGCTCAATTTTGACGTGGATACGTCTGTTTTCGATAGGGGGGTCATTCCGAACGTGCCTACTGACTGCCAGCGCCCCTGGTGGCCGGCACCCAAACTAACGCGCGTCTTTCTATCTATATACATATATATATGGGCCATTCCGCCAAATATCGGCGGGAATCTGGCCTCAAAATTTTCGACAATTTTTTTTTGCTTCTTTTGAATTCTTATGTATATAAAAGAAGATTTTTCAACGCGTAAAGGTCCCGCGGCTCAATTAGAGGCCGTCCGCATGATTACGAGTTTTAGACTTGAAATTTTTCGCTCTTAAGATAATTATAGAACGTATTAAAAGATGCTAAGAAAAAAAAATCAAAATATAGTTTTTGATCGCAAATTTTCTGAATTTTCCGAAAATGATGTTCATTTTCTTCCTCCACCCCTCCTCCATCGTGAAAATCGAAAAAGAAACCTCTAAACGTCATTTTTGGCAAATTCGCCATTTTTTTTTCAAATCTGATATTTTATCTCAAAAATTCAGAGAATTTCCAATCAAAATCATGTTTGAAACTTGTTCGCTCCTATGATGCTCATCTGCAGAAAAATGATTCTAAAAAAGCGAATATTCGAAAAATAATAATATTGTAGGAAGAAGACGATATTTCCATAGAAGATGATGATATAGAAAATAGAGAATGTTTTCATGAAATATGGTCTTGTTTCTATGATATTCATCATTTTTCGAATATTCATTTTTTTGTCTGTTATTTTTCTTTACTTGAGCTTTATAGAAGCGAACAAGTTTCAAATATGATTTTGATCGGAAATTTTCTAAATTTTTCAAAAAAAAATATTAGGTTTAAAAAAAAATGGCGAATTTGCCAAAAATGACGTTTAAAGGTTTCTTTTTCGATTTTCACGATGAAGGAGGGGTGGGGGGAGAAAATGAACATCATTTCCGGAAAATTCCGAAAATTTCCGATCAAAAACTATGTTTTGATTTTTTTTTCTAAGCATTTCTACGAACGTTCAATTCGATTGAACAATTTTCGCGTAAAATCGTTAAACCTTGCGCAGCCCCTCCAATTAAAAGACGGGACCTTTCCTTGTCGAGAAATCTTTTTTTCTATACACAAGTAGTACAAAGAAGCAAAAAAAAAAGTATCGAAAATTTTGAGGCCAGATTTCCGCCGATATTTGGCGGAATGGCCCATATATAATATCGACGCTGCATGCGTAGTCAGCTGTTGTCAACATTGTATTTCTCGTCAGTTGTTTACGCTGAATATTCCGTGATGCCGTACCGATGTAAAATTCCCAATTGTGCAAAAGAATCGAATCACACTTTTTTTTTTCTTCTCCCAATCTATTGATTCTGTCCAATGACACGCACATTTTAATTACTCATTACGACAGCAGAGGACTGCGGTTTCCCCTCTGTCACATAGACGTATCCACGTAAAATCACGGCTGTACAAAGCTACAGCTACCTCAAATTTTTTTTAACTACTGCTCCGCTTCATTCATTTTTCTTTCAAAATACTCATCTAGCTATCTTCTATCTAGATCATTCAAAATAAGAATATCCATTCATACAAAGTTTTCGAGATCATCGCGTTGTCTAATTTTTGCATCTGAGAGTCAATTAGATGTTCCATAATACGCATAAAATTTGGAATAAACATCTGAAATTTTGGTTACTTGGTAGTTTTATTGAGTCCCACTTATGTATAAAATTTGTGTGGATAGATTTAGTACATCCTGGCATAGAGCCATTCATCTAAAAATCGATTTTTCAAAAAAGTGAGACATCGTGATTTTTTTCGTTAAAAACAACCCATTGCGTAACAGGGGTTACAATTTTCATCTTATTGTTAGTTCTTAATATCTTGGAGAGTAATTCACTGGACTAAGAATTTTCAACACTAAAATATTTTGACGGCAATAACCATTGAATAAAATCAGAAAATTTAATCAAAATTGCCATTTTTAATTTCAAAAATGGAATTGCTATGGATCCATTCGGAGAGTTGCTACCAATAGAATTGGTAGGACTAAAAAAAAAGACTAATAACGCATAAAGAGACACATGCCTTCTGTCGAATAGATTCGAGCTCCTGCTTGTTATTTTCTTTTTATTTGAGCTAGAACCCTATCTCTCATGTTTATTTAGACAAGACACTATTACGTGAGTTAATCAGTATTTTTTTTCTCCGTAAAATCTAAATGCGAAAAAAATATTTGCCTCCTGTGAGGTTTGAACTCACGACCCCTGGTTTACGAGACCAGTGCTCTACCACTGAGCTAAAGAGGCGAATTAAGTTTTTATTTCTTTATGTTTTCAGACCTATTTGAATTTCTTCACATCTATTTTCTTTTTGAAATTTTTTATCAATTCATCAAACTCTTTCGCTTATTACTGACTTCCTGATTGTTTAATAATAATTACAATTTAGCTGAACCCGTAAATCTGGAGAGAATTATCAAATACATAAAAGTCCCGAATTTGACATGAAAGAATGAAAAATTCATTTATTTAATAGGAATTTGAAAAATTATTAGCAGTTTTGTCTTCCATTCGATTTTTTCATGAAAATCAAATGGGTTGAGTTTATACATTATATCCATATTATATTATAATTCATGCCAATACATTATGCATCTTAAAATTCCAACAGAAAATGTTCGTCCATGAGGTATCTAATTATTAGTTTCTCGCTTATGGGCTACGATTGTCACTAAAATATCTGTAAATTGATGAGTTATTTACGTACACTTACCTATATAAACAACACAAGTGAAGCATGGCCCGTCCGCAGTGGAGCCTATGAACGTGTAGAGCCTTATATTTGAGTTCGTTTTGGCTACCATGTACATGAATAAATATTAACATAGCAAATAGAATGTATCACGTGGATGTATTTTCTAAATTAATGGTGATCTGGAAGCGCAAATCCTTCCCGAAGAATCGAGTCTACGATCACGATTCCAGGTAGCAAAATCAATGAGCATTATAAGTTTGAGAAAATATGAAAAATTTTGAGGTAGAGGTTAGGTTTTACAATCGTAAAAACCCTGTGTTCCATCCTACGATTCAGTATGAATTACTCATAATTTCCGAATATATTGTTTTTGTCTTGTAGGTGATAACACCATATCCATCGTTTGTAATTTGTGATTAGACGAGACAAGATATGGAGGAATGGTTGAGTGCGCTGAGAACTGGAGGTGAAGACAGGGCAAAGGGTGAGCATGGAGCTGCTGAATTTCTCGGTGGCAATCATCACTGGTATGCTACAACTCATGCCAGGCCCACCTACTGCAATGTTTGTCGAGATGCACTCTATGGTGAGAAAATCAAGATTTATTATATGCTAGTTTTCATTCATCAGAATCAAGTTTTAATCGGTTTACTTTCTTGTGTAGGTGTTACTTCGCATGGGCTCAGTTGTGAGGTGTGTAAATATAAAGTACACAAGAGGTGCAGTCCTAAAGCAATTAATAACTGCAAGTGGACTACCCTAGCATCGATAGGAAAGGATATCATAGAAGATCACGATGGGGTTTGTATTTTTCGAATAAAATATTGATTGAATGATACTCATCTTTTATGCAGAGAACGAATGACGAAAAACGCCAGTTGGTGTCTTGTCAACAACATTTGAAATCTTCTCATAATTTTTAATAATCGTTTTTGAAAATATGCAACTAAAATGATGTATAATCCTATTCGGGAGGTAAAGTAAAAATTGAAAGAAAATTCTACAATATTCTAGGTAAAAATTTCTCACACATTTTTTATGTAATTGTACAGAAGGGGTGGGAGATTAAATTACGACAAGACTCTCTGTCTTGTTTTGATATGGAAATGAATTAAGTAAGACGGGTGAACTGGAATATATGGCAATTACGGAGGAGCTTTTTGGTTTTCCTTAACTCCACGTGAACATTTATTGATTGACATTTTCCCTTTATTTCCGAATACAGAATATTCAAATGCCTCACCAGTGGCTGGAAGGAAATTTACCAGTGTCTTCCAAGTGTCCGGTGTGTGATAAGACATGCGGCTCAGTTCTCAGGTGAGATGGAATTGCACATTCTCAATGATGGGAAAATATAGAAAATGATTAAACGTATTATTAAATGTTGGAAAATTCTTTAGACTGCAAGATTGGAGGTGTTTATGGTGCAGAGCAACGGTTCACACAGCGTGCAGACCACTGTTTAGTCCCGAATGTCCCTTGGGTCCCTCTAAGCTCAGCGTTGTACCTCCAACCGCATTACACAGTATAGGTAAGATTGGAAAATACGAAAACCTTCAGTGTTAATTAGAGATGTGGAATGGCCGTCATTTTCCCTTTTGGTCAGGTCAGACGTAAATGACCGGTTTCTGACCCTGACCGCATTTTGTATACAAAATGACCGTCACAGTTAAGCGGCATCAGAACAAGCCAAAATGACCAAAAATCGTCGATATAGTTGCCAATTGACCGTCATTTTCATTTCGGTTATTTTTTGGGTCATATTTTAAGAGCTAGATCGGAAAACTTTTTAATAACATTGAATCATTATCATTCATTACTTTATTTATTAATTATTATCAATGGCCCCGTTCTCAGTGATACACTGTTAGAAAAAAAAATGAAATTCCATGGACAGTTGACTATTAATTTTCAGGACAGTGCCGCTGAATGCAGTTTAAGGGGAACGGAATCATAAAATTTCAGATTTTACTGAAAATTCAACAAAATTACAAAATTTTGAGAAGCATGAAGACGAGAATTCTTCAATTTATTTGAATTTTCAAATAATTGAAAATTCAAGAACATGTTTATGGGAATTTTGCGGTCTTCTATTAATTTTCAAGGAATAATGGAACTAAATTTTACCATTCTCATTGATTTTTTCCCTAAAATTCCAATCTTTAATTACGAAATTCTTTACAATTTTAACGGAATTTCAAAGAACATGTGATAAAAATTTCCGAAAAGTGAATGGGAAATTTAGTATTTAAAAATTGAAGCCCTTCTATATAAATGGAAATTGACGGTCAAAATTTATTTGGTCAATTCATGCTTATGGCTAATTGTCATTTTTTGTCTGGCCATATGGTCCGATTCTCGACGCGGTAATTACCGATCATGACAGTGGTCATTGACGGTCATTGGACCGGTCATTTTTGTCAATCACATCTCTAGTATTAATGCTTTATTCTATATTCATCCCGTTATTTCTTAATAGGTAGTGATGAGGCTTGGGAAGCGGTTAGACCAGTAGGATGTAGTCCATTATTAGTATTCGTCAACAGTAAATCGGGTGACAATCAAGGAATGAAATTTTTAAGAAGATTCAAGCAATTATTGAACCCTGCGCAAGTTTTCGATCTGATTAAAGGAGGACCTGGACCAGGGTAAGCCAGATGGCCCCTCCCCTTTTTTCCTACTCAAACCATAGAATATTTTCTAAAGCATGATGCGCTAATCCATACCAACATTTCTATGACCATTAAACGCAATCACCAATTGGATGAAACCCAATGGAGAGATGGGACAATTTTACATATTTCTAATTTTCTAAAAATTCTAAGAGAATTAGAATTCGCTATTTAGCCGATTGGTATTGATGATAACTTTTCCCTCACATCTTTATGAGAGAATCAGGTCCTAGTGATGAGGATGCATTGAACGTTCAGACTTATGTGCACGACAAATAAGTGTTCATGGCCATATATTTTCTTCAAGAGTCCAGTCCTAGAAACCCAAAAGTCTATTCCAATACTGTAGGTGCAAGGCATTAACAATCTTAATGCCTCCAGTCTTCAATCGAAACATAATTCCGCATGAGCAAACTTGAATCATTCTCCCATCATTTAGATAGGAAGGCTTCGATACAATCCTATTTTTTTCATATAAGTTATCTCATAAATTGTTCATCACTCCAGACCTTTCATACAATCGCTATTGACAAGTCCAGAAGTGTAACATAAATAATTTCAACAACTTGCATGTAGGCTACAATATATATCCTTTTCCATTTGGGTCAATTCCCGATCAATCCTAAACTAACGATCAAGAAAATCCCTGTTATTGAATCCATTATATTGTAAATGGAATTACGGATTTTTGTTTCTTATGTAACATTAAGTGGAATATAATAAACAGGCTAAGACTCTTTCGACATTTCGACCCGTTCCGGATTCTGGTCTGCAGTGGAGATGGGTCTGTTGGTTGGGTCCTTTCGGAGATCGATCGGTTAGGAATGCACGTGAGTAACAGTAGTAACTCCGCGCTATTTTATCCCGTGACTTCCTTAATTTTTTCTTCATGTAACTCTCTCGAAGTCTTTTCTTCTCCTTCCTTAATACTGAATTCACTAAAATCTTCGCTGTTCTACAATTCGGTGTTCATAATTTCGATCATGCATGGTGCTCTGAATATTATTACTCTTTGAACAGGTAACGATTCTCTGATTGTGCAACACTTTCCGCAGTTTTATGTTTATGAGTTGAGGTATTGAGTGAAATACGAAGATATCGCTCAAAACCCTGGCCAAATATTTCGCTCACGTGGAAATTAGTTATTCATCTTGTAATGTGATTACCTTTCTGAGTTTTTCATTTATGTGTAAGAGGATCGCTTGGGCCATTCAAGCTACGACTGCTATCGGGGAAAAGTGTGGGCAGTTTTGAAAATCACAATCGATAGGATGAATCATCAATAATAATATCCTCAATTGTGTAACTTTATCGCAATTTTTCGGTGAGTTGAGATTGCACAAATCGAGTTCATTATTATTGCTCAATTATCCTAATTGCATATCCCCAAAACTGCCCTGGTTATTCCTGCTTTCTGCCAAAATGTTCTTATTTAACTGGTCGAGATACATTTTCTACATATGGGTATTACGTACATTCTTATTCCACTTGAATACAAATGTATTAAATCAATCAGGTGGATGATTTTTTTCATCATCTTTTTCTCATTACTTTTCTCATACGGCAGTATGCTTGTTTACACTATGAAGGTGACATTTCTCTGCAGGAAACGCTGATATGAGCCTTACTTTGTCTACAGAAACAGTGTCAAGTGGGTGTACTTCCGCTGGGTACGGGAAATGATCTCGCCAGAGTTCTTGGTTGGGGAGCATCTTGCGACGATGACACCCATCTACCACAGTTATTAGAAAAGTATGAAAAAGCAGGCACTAAAATGTTAGATCGATGGAGTATCATGACCTTTCAACGAAGTATTTCCCTTCCGTGTCACAAAATGTCACCTAATCAGTCTAAACCAGTATTGAGCGTCTCAATAGTTCATCAGTATGAGAATAATGTCATATCACATTTAACAAATATGATACAGTCTAATCAGGATACGATAATGATATCCAGTGCCAAGTAAGTAACTATACCTCCATTAATTATAGTTGCGCAGAAATTTTATTGAGATAATCAATTAAACGAAGATACGATCCCGCGCTTACGGACTTAGAACAAAAAATAGACTAGGGGGAAAAGGTCGTACACGGTAACATACGATTTGTAAGAGTAGACCTGAAGAATAATTCACTCTTTTTTTTAAATGGGTCGTTTTTTCTCAGTACATCTTCCATTAGCTATTTTTGTTCCATAAATCGTACTCTCGATAATTCGAACATACTCTTATATAAATCACTATTGTTCAATTGTCGTCGGAAAATTGTACAACGATTTTTTTTCAATCATCACAACCGTTGGCAATCTTTCCGGGGTAAAAATCATAAAACTGAGCTACTAATAGTGAAATACGATGAATCATTCACAGTAGGAACATAAATATTTATCTCTATGTTATTTTGCAGCGTTCTCCGCGAAACTGTGAAAGATTTTGCTAACAAATTGCTCGAAGCTAATCTACAAATGGGCGATCAAATATTATGTGAAAAGTGCCGAATACTTGAGCACGAAATGGATCAATTACTTCAAATCATTAATAATGAGAATGTGTCAGCCAACAACGATGAAGAGCGAGATGAAAGAATACTTGCGTCGGATCCATATTCATCAATGGGGGAGTTTGAAAAAGGCTCACTTGAGAAACCTGAAAAAGATATCACGAATCTCAAACGTGTAAGAAAGATTCGTGATTCTTTCGAGCAAGATAGAATATTGTCAAAAGTGAATAGCTTGAAACGTGCTATAAGGCAGCTAGCTGAACACGCTGAAGTATTCATTGATGAACAGAAAAATGCATCTGTCAAAGTATTTAATAAACATCCTAATATGACCGCAATTTCCGAGGATAACAGTCCTGTGAATAGAATGGAACAGGATTACTTGGATTCCAAATGCATACCAAGTGATAGCAGCATGTTTCTTATACCAACACCTATATCATCTGAGAGCAGTGATGTTTCTCCGTGTGCTAGTCCTATGCCGAATTTAGTTTCTCTGAGTCCTATGCCTGATTTGCGGAGAGATTCACAAGTTGAAGATATGTTGACGCTTCCAGCACCAGATGGATTTGCTGATAGTCGAAGAAATAGTTCAAATGCCACTCAAGGGTAAAATCCAGAAACATATTGCATTGGATTAATAACATTCATTTATTAGTATTCATTTATTAGTGCACGTATGAAAAAATACTATGGGATTTTCCAGGTAGGATTTCTTATAGGATTCTTCATCAGGTTTTTCCTATTGTATTTCTTATAGGATGTCCTATAGGATTTTTTATAGAATTTCATATGAGATTTTTAACAGGATTTCCTATCAAATTTATGGCTCATATGACTTTTTTGACCCTCATTCTGACCCCTATGACCCTAAATTTCATAATAAATCCTATAGAAAATCCTATAGGATTTTTTCATACGTGATATTATGATTAAATCACGTATGATCATCAAGAAAACCATGCTTTTTCCAATGCATAATTGAAGGTTGCCTCTCCGATTAGTGTTCCAGTTTTTTTATATTTTCTTATTGTTTAAAGTGCTAAAATCTACAGGATTTATTTACACTATCAGTAATGTTCTATTAACTTAATCTAAACAGTTACACTTCTTACAATCTTTGATTTTAGATATTTAATCTACTACTTATGATAAATTTGTGTAGTATTTTAGTATTTTTGGATCTGTTATTTTCAATCAGGGGGTGATTGAGTTCGTAAGAGGGACTTTAAATTGTTTCAATTCTCTAATGAGTGTTGTCCTTTCTTTGCTCAAGGTGAGAGAGTGCCATATAATGTGGTCGATGTCTTGACTTTCGTATCCACAAGTACAGTTCGAATCTTCGATTATGTGTATTCGTTTTGAAGAGGTTTCAAGTGATAATAGTTAGCCCTGACTCGGTTGACCCATGTAATCAATGCTCTTGGGTGTTTTTTACCCTTAAACCATGGCTTGAAAGACTCTGTAAAAATTTTCGAAGGATTCCACCCGATTTAGTTTTACCTCAGCCTGGTATTTTATTTCTCGTATCGTATTTTATTGTTTTTTATATTTATGATTGGCCCTAAAATCTGAGTATGGTACTCGGCAATCAGTGTCATTATATTGTGATGTATGTTCGGCTAGATTATCAACCTCCTCGTTTCCCTCAATTTCTGTGTGCGCAGGGATACAGTAGAACAAAATGGTGCTGTCAGATTCATTATTATTGTTGAACTCTGCAAATTTTGCCTTAATCTCAAGGAGATATGAGTTTGTCTTGGGGTCCAGTTTGGTCGACTGAAGGCTCTGGAGTGCACTCAAAGAATCCGAGAGGATGAGGAAGTTGTGATTCTTGTGTTGAAGAGCCAAATCAAGAGCCATGCTGAGGGCCACACATTCGGACGCGAAGACCGAGCCATCACCACGGAGTTGTACAGCTCGGCTATGTCTCAGGTTTGGACAGTAGCAGGCCGCTCTAACATGGCCAATGCTCGAATCCTTACTTCCATCAGTATAGACGCAGTACGCCCCTGGATTGGCTTCAATTATATTTATGAATTTATGACATCGTTTGCATTTTCTGACGATTGCGCTCTGAGTCCGATTTCATTGTTTATATTGATGGAGAGTGTTGATACATCATAATCATTCTTAAAAACATTGAAGTGGTTGTTCGTATACATTGAATTTTTTTGATTCAAGACTTCTCTGATGTTTTTGGTAATTAACTTATCGCTAGGCCTAAATTAAATTTTTTTGATCGAAAACAGAAATTCAATAGTTCTTGCTATTAATTCGGATGAGTTCTACATGATCTTCGTTATGTACGAATTGCAAAGAAAAGCAGCTCTATCTTTGATGAATATAAGCTCCGAATCTCCAATAACATTTAAAGGCGTGGAGTGACGATACCCTAGCGTAAACCTAATTGAAGTATTCTGAATTGCTTGTAGCTTGGAATTAGTAGCTTTGTTGTTAGTATAATAAACGAATGAACCGCAGTACATAACTGACCTTATAAAACTTCTATACAGGACGATTAGTGTTCGAGGTCAGTTTCCCACCAGGTGCGCCTGAGATATTTTATAATATTTATTGACTTGAGACATTTTTCCGGTATTTTGCCTATGTGACATTTAAAATTCAGTTTTTGATCAAAGTGAATACCCAAGAATCTAACAGAAGGGCTGGAGGTGATTTCATGGGAGCTTATTTTAATCTTCGTTCGAGAAGGATCAGATCCTTTTTTTACTGAATCTAACTAGAACTTTTTTTTCTGGAGCGAGATCTAGACCTAAATTTCTCAAGTTATTAACAATGGTCTCGACAGATGTTTCTAGGGTTTGCAGGTTGCACCGTTTATCTGACGATCGCGTAAACAATGGAATGTTATCTGCAAACATAGAATCATTGACACTTTCATCTACATCTTTTTTTTTTTTTTTTTTATAAATCTGGCGCATAGTGTATATATTAAGGGGAAGAGGACCCCTCCTTGCGGGACCCCCTCCTGACAGTTCTAGTATCCTTCCCCAGAGAGTCAGTGTGGATATGTCTTTCAAATGTGAGAAATTTTATATATTTTATTATGTTGGTAGGACATTTGGCTCTAATGAGGTCTCGGACGAGGATTTCACCGTTGACATTATCGAAAGCCCCTTGAACGTCAAGAAAAGCGGCGATCGTGTATTCTCCATCTCTGAAACTATCCTCGATATTGAGGATTAAGTTACAGAAATTGTCACGGCACGAAAGTCTTGGGCGGAAATCAGTCTGGTATTCTGGGAGCAGTCCGTTAAATTCAACCCATCACTGGAGTCTGTTTTTCAGCATTGTTTCAAAGAGTTTAGCTACACATTAGCGGACATTATCGCTTTTTGATTTATGGACAAAGTGGATGAAAAGATGCATCCATTCCGTTGGGAATTTACCAGAAAGAAACATTTCATTGAAGATGTCAAGTAAAATAAATTTGGGTTTATCGGGAAGGTTTTTGAAAAGGTTAAAATCAATGCCATCTATTTCGGGTGCGGAATTGTTTTTTCTTGATTTGAGGGCTGTGTTGAATTCAACATTGCTAAATGGTTGATCTAATATAGTTCAAGTAGGAGGTATATTGGAATTGTTTTTTGGATTACATTTTGCTACGTTGTTTTTTTATATTTTCAATGAAGAAAGAGTATTTATCTATGGCGCATAATAAATCGAAGCTGGGATCAAGATATACATCATAGGAACTGTTTAGTATATTATCTAACTGTATTCAGTCTGTTCCAATTGATGTAATTTTAAAAGTTTCACGATGGTAGAATGATAATCTCACTCCGATGTTGATGAAGATGGAGTAGTGGTCCGAACCCCAAGTTTCTTCCAGGATTGCAACGGATGTGAGGTCAGCTATGTCCGGAGTGGAGAGGACTAGGTCTATGTCAGATTTTTTGTCTATATATCTTGAGGTGGGTGTATGTATCTGGGTTATGTAGAAAAAGGTTATCAGCTTGGATGCACTCGAAAAATTTTTCTCCATTGGGATTCGTTTTTTCACAATTCCAGGGGACATGATGGGCGTTGAATAGTGTTCCAGTTAGTGTTTTTGTTGCGCAGTAAAAACCATAAGAATACCTACGGATTTAGCAAATACTGTTTTTTAGTGTGAAGAAAATAGAAGAGTGCTTTTTTAGTACACTCGTAGCATAGTGGTGGTGATTCTGCTCTAAAAAGCTAGATGAGTACCTCGTACGACATCGTGAGTTTAAAGTGTACAGGAAATTCAGTAGTACAATTTCAGTACATGCACAAAAAAATTTAATAGAAAAACCAAGCGAATTAGTTAGAAAATTCTATTGGATTTCTATTGAACTTTCTGTTAGTTTTTGGTCAATTCTATTGAAATGTTCAATAGAAAATATGTCAATAAAATAAGTTATATAGAAAAATCGAATGCAATTGACTTTTTCCGAATCGGCCAAAAACTAATAGAAAGTTCAGTAGAAATCCAATCGAATTTTCTAACGAATTCGATAGGTTTTTCTATTAATTTTTTTCAACCATCTATTCATCATTAGTACCTAAAACATTCCAATGCCGTTTACTCCGGATAGGATAACATTCACTGGACAAGAGTAGTTCGTTTTCTCTTTGAAATATAATTCACATTGATATGAAGCCGATAGTAGACAATTTGTGTTGTCTTATCAAAAATAATGATTATTTCAGGGTTTTTCAATTCTCAACACCAGCGGACATTGCCACGGTTCAACGTGCGATGGAAGTGGTAGCAGAACAACAGTCCGAACAATCACAGTTAGAAACTCCAACAGATAATCAAATAACCGTAACAAGTACAACATTAGATACTACTTCTAAATCTGATGACACTACAATTCAGGATGTAGTGATATCACCAGATTCGGACTCCCCTAACTCTACAAACATGTCGTTGATCCATAGGACTGATCACGCAACAAAAACTGAAAACTCTAAAAGCAGTGGTAGCAATAGTATTGCCAGTTCGGACAGTATTATCTCTGATACACTCGATTCAAAGAGCTTCACCGTCAAACACAGTGAAAGTGAAATTGGTGAGGAATTGATTAATCTTTCCAATGGATATTTAGCCATTCGTAGTTTTTATGAAATTTCATATATACGGATAATTTGTCTGACACTTTTCAGGACACATAGACAGTGATATCTTGGATTCAACGAAGCTCTCAGAAAGTCCTGATATAGGACACATTGATTCACCGGAACTTTCGGAGCTCCAAAATTCTGAGAGCATAATCGATGATCTTAGCTCCTTAGGACAGGATTTGATGAGTACAATGTTGGGTGAAAAGTACGATTCAGTTCGAGAATGTATCGAGACTGTCGCCGATAAACCAAAGAAATATTGCAGTTTGGCACAGTTTGTTGAGGGCAATGATATTGCAAGGAGATCCTTCAAAAGACCTTGTCGATATGTTTCCTCATTATTAAAAGACGTAAGGCAGATAAAAATACACAATTCAGTAGTGAAGTCGTAATAAAATTCAAGTCAACTTCATCCAAGGCTCATTTTTCAAAAAATATATTGGGATTTTGAAATTTGGAGATAGTATAGAAAAACTTTACTAAAAGTCGAGTTGACTCGACCAATTTGATCACTCCACTACTGAATTAAAGAAGAAAATCGTGATGAATTTTTATGTTTAATCATTCATTTTTAGGATCAAAAAAGTGGTGAACAATTTTTGGATGGAAAGGCGGATTTATTGAGCCCAGTGTGTTGTTTCAAAGTGACCTCTGACTCGGGACAGGATGAGAAATCGCCTCAAAACTTTCCTCCAGCAATAAGCGTTATAGTTGATCCGCCAAGTCCATCCGTGTCAATTGGGAGTCACGTTGAAGATCATCCTTCCAAATTGCGAAGACTTAGCAGATGTAGTATGGAGCGTTTGAGTGTAGAATTACCAGAACTTGGTTTCTCCCCACAAGCAACACGTCGAATAAGCAGTGGAAGTTTATTAAAAGCTTCTGAGGTTGTTTCATTGGCAGCTACCGCGGCAAGGTTTGGTGGATCAAGTATGAGTCTTCGTCATGATCGAACATCTTCAGTAGATAAGACTGAAGACACTAAGAAATTACCAATAATAAATCCCCTCGTGAGACTTCCAATGTGGCCGAATGTGAGTGGTGGAGCTGGATTGATAAGTCAAGCCCTTTTGGCAAATGCTGATGCTCTTTGTGCTGCAGTTTCACCCTTAATGGATCCCGATGAAACCCTGATGGAAGGCTATTTTGAGCGGTGCGTTATGAACAACTATTTTGGTATTGGCATCGATGCAAAAATCAGTTTAGATTTCCATCAGAAACGAGAAGAGCATCCTGAAAAGTGCAGATCTAGAGCTAAGAACTATATGTGGTATGGAGTACTTGGATCGAAACAATGGCTTCAAAAGACTTATAAAAATCTTGAACAAAGAGTGCAACTTGAGTGTGATGGCCAACGGATTCCTTTGCCCTCACTGCAGGGCATTGTTGTGCTCAATATCCCTAGCTTTATGGGAGGAACCAATTTTTGGGGTGGTACAAAACAAGGTGATTTGTTTTTAGCACCCTCATTTGATGATAGAATTCTGGAAGTTGTTGCTGTTTTCGGATCCGTTCAAATGGCTGCCTCTAGGCTCATTAATTTACAACATCACCGGATCGCACAATGCCAGACGGTACAAATTAATATTCTGGGGGATGAGGGTGTTCCAATTCAAGTTGATGGAGAGGCATGGATTCAACCACCTGGCATCATCAGAATTATTCATAAGAATCGTATGCAGATGTTATATAGGAATCGTGCACTTGAGACGTCCTTGAAAACGTGGGAGGAAAAACAGAGGAATATTACTTCTACAACAGTATCACAATCAACGTCAACTCTAAGCAACCCATCCAGGTCTCGCTCCAATTCACGTCGACTAACAATAGATAGTAAACCGATACAATTATATGAAGAGGAATTCAATATTTTACTCGGATTCATTGAGGTTGTCACAACGTTGGTAAAATGGGTGAAATTGTTGATCATTTCTCATCCGAGTCTGGAGCCTGATCTTTATCAAATTGCTGACAGAACTGCTAATAGTTTAGAGAAAGTCCATCCTGATGGAAAAATTCTTGAGGGGGTAAGTAGGAATGAGTGGGGCAGAATGAAACAGTCGAAAATACGACTGTTTCATGCAATTCAAGCAAAAAAATATTTTTTTTTATCAACTTTTTTTAAATCAATTTTTGTTTATTCAATTTTTTTTATTATTGGGCGTACTGATTAGAATAATAATTTTCCATTCAGTAGAATGAAAATTATTGAGATATTTCGACAGGAGACCCAGATTGGGAAAAAGGAAAATGTGATACTGAATTTCAATCGAATGAAAAAAAAAGTTTAATCTGCCTAATCTAATCAATTGAATTGTAATCAATTAAATTATAAGACGAATAAAATATTATTATTCTCATCAGTACTCCCAATAATAAAAAAAAGTTAGTAAACAAAAGTTGATGAAAAAAAATTTTTTTTTTGCATGAATTGCGTCAAATAGTCGTTTTACGGCTGTTTCATTTTGCCCCACCTTCCCGTATGTGAACTTGAAGAAATATCTGAGGAAATTGAGGCAATTGTATTTCATGGGAGGAAACTTTTTTTTATTAACAGCCAAGTTTGAGACCAGTCGTCACCGAAGTGGTATCCAATGCACGACAGTTATATGAAGAATCTTGTGAGCTACTGCGAGATAAAGCCCATAAGCTTGTAAGTCAATCAAGTGCCACAATTGTTTTGTTCTTCATGTAATTGCAATATGTAACTGAAACTTTCGGATATTGTAGAGGTTGCGGGAGGATTTGGAAAACAAGTTGTCACAAGCATTAGCAATGATGGAACATGAATTACGGAAGTGCATATTCGATGAGGCTGGCACGGGGATGGTGTATCTTCAAAATATTCCATCAGACGATCAGGTACATTATCTTTTTGATTTAGGCAATTTAGAAGACTTTTAAATTCTTATATTGAGCTTTTATGAACATTTTTATATTTGAAGTAAGAAAGGGTCGAATCTCATTGTGATTTGCATTTACGAATATCCTAAGTAGATGGTTAGAGCCCTAAAGTTTATATCTGAAATTCACTATAACTAAATAATCATTATAATATGCAGAAAAAATATTCTCTGAAAAAAATTCCATCCAAGCAAAATTTCCAAAGTGATAATTATGACAATATTGCTCTCAAATTTGAAAACGGAAAAGGGTGATTGTTTGAACCTCCTTTCTGGATATCCTCAAATATTTTGGAAGATTTATCATTCAATATATTCATCTGCATGAATATAAGAAAATGATAATTTAAACGTGAAATTCCATGATTCAAGAATATAAATATAAATGAATTCAGATACATTACAAGCGATAAATAGAATATTAGCATTTTTTATCATCCACCCATTAAAAACAAATATAATTCCAATTGAATCAATAATATAATTAATACAAATTCTTCTATGCCCTGGAATTTTATTGGATTAACTGAGTACTCAATCCTACCACCGGTAATACGCTCCAACAAATCAGAATGCTCTGTAGCAATAGAGAATAATAGTTCTAGGAATAGCGGCCCCACCTTTCCATCATTTCTATTCATTTCATGTAATTCCTAATTGCATAGCTAGCACGCCCTAGACATTCCGAACATACGGATTTGTATTGCCCGACAAGTTGATAAAAATGTTACGTTGATATTACCCCTTTCAAAGATTTCTCTTGTTCCCTACATAGAATCGCTGAATGTCACAAAAAAACCCTCATCTGAGAGCAAATAAGTATTTTTACGAGAAGCAATTGATTATGACCATCTGACGAGCATGTTTATCGATGTTGATGTATGAATTCAGTAGTTAAATGGTGTGATAAAGCTTAAATAACATTTGGGCAAAAACTTTCCATCACACCACGTTCGGCGTCGGTGGAAAGCGACTTTACACAAGTTGTGATGGAATAGTAACTTTTTAATTCGCTACACAGAGAAAAAAGTTTTAGTTTCGGGGGATCTATCTCTAACTTTGAGGGACATGTGGTGCCAAAATTTAACAAGGAATTACAGAATTAATTGATTTTATCACTACTTTCCAAAGAAATGATCTTGAAATTCAGATAGAAGTCCTAATTCTAGGGACAAAACTCACTAATTCTGGTCACTAGAATTAAAAACTTTTTTTCTCTTTGTAGGTTTTAATGCGATTACATATTTTTTGGGCGCGTGTAAATTACTGCAAGACATTGGGTATGACGATAAAGTCAATTCAAAGAGACACAGAATGTGTGATATCCTTTTTCCTGCGCTTGCCAATATACTCGATATATTCATGTATATCAAATTTACACATAAAATGAGCGAAAATTTAGGTCCTCGTAGAGGGGGTGACGCTGGATTCAAGGTATTTAGTGTTCAAAAAATTCGTTCCATTCCGGATTCATTCCAACCACTTTTTTACCACGACCTTTGGATGATCACTTTGACTGAGAAAATAATTGTTCCCAGTAAACATCGTAGATCTTGGCTACTACTGATAATTTAAATCGTTTCCTGATTTTCTGTCTTTGTGTGTGTGCGTCCCAAAAAACTCGCAGTATTTTGAGAGTCACTCCATGATCGAAATGCAATGTCTGGTGAATGACTTCTGAAGATAGTCCCTGAAGAAGTCAGTTATCGTTGGAGGCCCAATGACCAATACTCAAACCTCCTTATTTCTGAGGCTTCAATACATCGCTGGATTGTTTCAAACCCTGTTGGTAAAACGACCCTACATACGTATTTTTCAAATTTCTGCTGCATCTGGAAATCGCTGGGTTTCATCATCGACAAATTGATGCGAGTATTGCATTACTTGGAACGGCGATAAGGCTAGGTTGAAGGTAAAGTTGTTCTCTTGAAATCTTGCAAGTTTTCCATTTTTATTTTTCCACGATATCTTAAAATTTTGAATACGTTTTGTGAATGTCTCCCGTTAGCACCTATTCATTGCAATGGAATTGCAGAACTAACTAGGCGATTTCTCCTACATATAGCTGTGAATGGCCCCCGAAAAGTGACGTGAAAAAGGAGTAATTAACCTATTTAGGTCTTAATGGCTAATATTTTTTTATCGATAGGGTTTTATGTATAGATCAATTTTTCTAGATAACATGTTGCGTTCTGAATGGCGCGTCTATGAATACAATAGGAAAACAGCACGTTTTGTGGATTTTTTCGCGATCATCTGCGAAATGATCATTCCTACCCAAGTTTTTGTTTTTCTAACACGCACGAAAAAATTCAGTAGAAAACCTAGCGAATTTGCTAGAAAATTCGATTGAAATTCTATAGCAATTTTATGGGGGTTTCTATAGGATTTCCATTGGAATTCTATTGAAAAATTCTACGTGTTTTTTGGGCTGGTTCTATTGCATATTTGATAGGAAAATGTCAATATATTTTCAATTTCTATTCGAATTTTTCTCTTGACATTTTTTCAATTAAAATTTTTCGGCACAAGTTTTTTCCGTGGAATTTCGTTTTGTTTTGCATTACAGAATCCTAGTGGAAACAACTTAGCAAATTAATGCCCAAGCATTCTTATAGAAAAAAATCTGGAGACAAAAATTCAAACAAAAATTCGAAAGCTATTGACTTTGTCTTATATCCACTAGAATCTGCGCTAAAAACAAATAGAATTTTTCAATAGAATTCTAATAGAAATCCTATAGAAACCCACATAGAATTTCTATAAAATTCCAATAAAATTTTCTACCGAATTGGCTAGGTTTTCTATTGAATTTTTTCATATGTGAACTTGCGCTGTTTTCCAGAAATTTAAAATTGTTTATACAATTGGAATGAAAATGTACGCAAAATGCCTCATTTTTTATTAAATTTACAGCGCATATTTATTCGTACAAATATATTGAGTCAAATTATATGTGCAATGTTTAATTTGGATAAAAAACCGAAAAAATCGAAAAATTTTCTATTTATTGCCGATTAATTGTTGAATTGTGTTTTTTTCGATGTAACTACGTAGAACTTTTCTATGGATCGTATCAGGGTCTCTATTTCTTATCTTTTACGTTTTTTCATAAAAACAATTATTTGTGATTGCTAGCTTCATAACCACGCCCACTCCTCTTACTTTCCATAAGCCCACGGTGTCCCTGGTCTGGCACCAAACGCAGTCTCAACTTTGATATTAAAATGACTGTTTTTTTGGTCATTCAGTACTTTTTATAACAATATGATGAGATGTCTATAAATCAAATGTCAGAAACTTCTTTCCAATTTCCTATCGATTGCATTGAATTTTCGATAATTAATTTCTTAATAGATTTATCAACTCGACATTTTTAGTCTATCGTATTTTCTACTTTTTATTTCCGTATAACATTGGCAATCTACCATATATACGAAAAAAGAAAAGGGATTTGTATTCTACCAGCCTAAAAATATTAATTGCGAATCGATTTTCATTGCTTGTCATAAACGGTCCTGTCGAGACGGTGAGAGCTGTCGGGGGAAAAAGTAAAACCATTCTTATAAAAATTTGGATAGGAATGATCGTTTCGCTGATAATCGCGAAAAAATCCATAAAGGAGATTTCACAATGAACGCAATACAGACTTGATGCAACGCGTGCAATTGTTCAAAACAGTCGTTCAACTGTTTTTCGATTTTTTTGACAATTGCATGCGCTGCATCAACCCTGCTTTGCGTTCATTGTGGAATCTCCTTAAAACAGTTTTTTTTCCTATTTTTCTGAACATATCCTATGTAATCTGACTGGATATATTCCTGCGAGTACGTATACGCTGTGAATTAAATCCAAAATTGGGTATGTTCTGTGCATTTATCAAAAATTCATATGAACAAATTCGATTTTATAGGAAAAGGCGCGAGTTATAGAAAAGAAGTCTAAATACAAAATATGTAAAGGTAATTGAAATTCGTAACAAATATGTCTATACAAATTTCGATAGAAGTGATCGTTTCACTGATAATCGCAAGAAATACCATAAATCGTTTTTTTTGCTTGGAAGCATTGCAATCGTTCGATTTTCACATTTTCTAATTTTGCTTGGAAATGGTGCAGAATGTTCTGAAACGTGAAAATACGAAGTTTGGGGACCATGTCTGTGCGTGACTCTGTCCAGTCGGTGGTCATTTTTTCGTAAATTTGACAATGAAACAGGAAAAATCATTCCAAAAAGTTTAAAATTTTTTCCGTTAATTGGTATAACTTGAGACTAACTCCATGCCAAACTTCAACTTGATCCGTCCATTAGTTTTTGAGCAATATCCCGGAAAATATTCAACCGATTTCAATAATTTTTTCCAAAATATTCGGCATGATGTCCTCTATCTAAATCAATCAAAACATATATATATCCATTCATACAAAGTTTTTGAGATATTTGGATTTTTCTGTTTTTGACTTGAAATCCTTTTTCGCGCTCTAACTTGAGTAAAAATTGAGATATCGACTGGAAATTTGGCATGAAGCTGTCTCTTATCATCGCAAGGACCTGTATGGAAAATGGGCTCAATCGGTCGATTAGTTTCGGAGATATTCAACTTTGTATGTAAACCTAATGTCTTGAATATCTCAATAATGAGTCAACCGATCTCAATGATTTTTTTTCAAAATATTCGGCTTGATGACCTTTATCTAAATCAATCAAAACATATATATATCCATTCATACAAAGTTTTTGAGATATTTGGATTTTTCTGTTTTTGACTTGAAATCCTTTTTCGCGCTCTAACTTGAGTAAAAATTGAGATATCGACTGGAAATTTGGCATGAAGCTGTCTCTTATCATCGCAAGGACCTGTATGGAAAATGGGCTCAATCGGTCGATTAGTTTCGGAGATATTCAACTTTGTATGTAAACCTAATGTCTTGAATATCTCAATAATGAGTCAACCGATC